AATTTTCACATCCATTGTTGGATATAGGCCTCCTCCAAACGTCTCCAGTTCTCTCTATCTCTAGCTGCTGCAATCCAGTTTGTTTCTATTCTCTTTAGGTCGTCGGTCCATCGGGTGGGTGGTCTGCCTCGACTTCGCTTGTCGGCTCTTGGTCTCCACTCCAATAATCTCTTTGTCCATCTTCCGTCTTCCATTCTAGCAACATGTCCAGCCCACCCCCACTTTTGTTTATTGATTCGCAGTATAATATCGTCTACGCCAGTTCGTCGGCGTATCTCCTCATTTCTTACGCGATCTTTCAAGGTCAGGCCCAGCATTGATCTCTCCATTCGCCTTTGTGTTACCCTCAGTTTTTCGGCAGTAGCTTTCGTTATAGTTAAGGTCTCTGCTCCGTAGGTCAAGACTGGTAAGATGCATTGGTTAAATGCCTTCCTTTTCAGGTGAATTGGGATATTTGTTTTAAAAATGTCTCTCATCCGTCCATATGCCGCCCATCCCAACGTGATTCGTCTATTTAGCTCGCAGGTTTGGTTGTCTCTGGTTATTCTAATTTCATGACCCAAGTATGTGTATTTATCGATTAATTCTACCTTGTTGTTATTGATCTGTATCTCTTCGCTGGGAACCATATTGGTCATCATTTTGATGTTCTCGAAATTTATCTCCAGCCCAGTTTCTTGTAGTATGTCATTCAGTTCTTGGAGCATGTCTTTGATCTCTCGCAGATTATCTGACAGAAGCACGATATCGTCCGCAAAACGTAGATGGTTTAATCTTTCTCCATCGATGGATATTCCTTTCTGTTGCCACCTTGCCTGACTCCCCTTTTTATCTTTATTTTATTAGTTGCAGAATATAGGCTTTTGGTTGTTGTGGCATGTTCATATATATTTTTAATTATATTACAATATCTGTGGTCGATCCTGCAATCTTGTAGTGCTCTTAAGATGGACGGTACTTCCACTGTATCAAACGCCTTTTTAAAGTCTACAAATATCAATGCCAAGGGACGGTTATATCCGTTAGTTTTTTCTATTAGGATTATTAGGCACTGCAGGTGATCATTTGTGCCATAATTAGGACGGAAACCAGCTTGTTCCCGAGGTTGGTAAAAATCCAGCTTTGTCTCTAATCTATTCGTTATTATTCGGGTGTATAATTTATAAAGATGGTTAAGGAGACTGATTGGTCTGTATCTTTCCAGGTCTGTTATATCTCCCTTCTTGTGTAAGAGTACAGTTATTGAATTATTCCACTTTGTTGGGATATTTTGATTCCATAGGCATAGATTAAAGAGCTTTTGAATTTTGGCTATCAGTACCGAGCCTCCTAACTTTATCGCTTCCGTGACGACACCGTCCTCCCCCGGAGCTTTGTTATTGTTCATCTTTTTTAGAGCCTTGTCAATTTCGTCCAAGGAGATTTCTGGAATATCTTCGGAACCCTGATTTTGGACCTTCCTCTGTTGATATTCGACTATATCTAGAGTCGATTGGTTGCTGTATAATGTCTCATAGAATGATTCCACAATTTGTAACAAATGTTCTCTGTTTGATGTGATGTTGCCATTTCTATCCTTGAGTTTGACTATTTGTTTATTTCCATTTGTGAGTTTGCGTCTCATTATTTTCATACTCTTATTTTCCTCAATGGTTTTATTGATTTTCTCATCTTTGTATTTTCTTAAGTCTTTTCTGATTTCTCTTGATACTTCCTTGTTCATTCTATTTATATCGTCGTTACTAGAGTTTTCGTCGCTTCTCAGTATTCTTTTTTGTTACATTTTTTCTGTGTTTCCAGACTAATTTTTTCTTCCTTCACGCTTTTTGGGCAGCATTTCTTTTGAGCTTCTGTTATTGCTTCTACTATTATGTCATTTAGAATGTTAATATCATTTGTTGATGATTTTTCTTGAAGGAATTTACCGATATGATCTTTAAAATTTTGTTCGTTGTTTGGATGTGTCCATCTGTTTATTTGCTTCTTTTTTATCATATTGTGTCGTTCATAGTTGGTATTTAATACAATGGTGGCTCTCACCATACGATGGTCGCTTGATTTCGCAAATTTATTTAGCACTGTCACATCTGTAAATATGTATTTTTAAAAATTAGATTATAAAGCAATAATCATGATCAGCCTTTACGGGTTAGACTCTTGAGCCTGTTCCTTTCCTTCACCCTACCTGTTTCTGAGTTTTCCAAATTTTTTTTTACCTTTTAGTTTGTAAAGCACGTGGTGTTCGTGTGTATTAAGGTATAAAAAAGCGCTTATTAAAAGCTTAAAATTTTTTATTATAAAGAAGATCTTTTCGGAATTGTATCATTTCATCATCAGTTTACTAAAAGAGAGAGTAAAAATACCAATATTAAAAACAACAAAGTTAAAATTTGAATATACAAAAAGAAAAAGTTGGTTTTTTACTACTTACATAAAAAGTTGTTAAAAAACATTGTGTGGCCACATAAAAAACATTCGATGGACATCTGGATTTAAAAAATAATCTTCATGTTATTTATTCAGGTAAATGCAATAGAATCTTGACTTGTGTAATATTAAAAAATGAAACTGGGGGCATCTTATATGACCCCCTGTCCCCCTGTCCCCCTATATAAGATACCCCCAGTTTCATTTTTTAATATTACACAAGTCAAGAGTCTATTGCATTTACCTGAATAAATAACATGAAGATTATTTTTTAAATCCAGATGTCCATCGAATGTTTTTTATGTGGCCACACAATGTTTTTTAACAACTTTTTATGTAAGTAGTAAAAAATCAACTTTTTCTTTTTGTATATTCAAATTTTAACTTTGTTGTTTTTAATATTGGTATTTTTACTCTCTCTTTTAGTAAACTGATGATGGAATGATACAATTCCGAAAAGATCTTCTTTATAATAAAAAATTTTAAGCTTTTAATAAGCGCTTTTTTTATACCTTAATACACACGAACACCACGTGCTTTGTATTCAACAGGTATACTAGCCACTCCTGGATATCTCCACTTCATGGTTTGTTCCAGTTTCACTTTTAAAAACTTTTAGTTTGTAGTTATACACCAGTTTTCTGGTCTTTCCAGTTGCTTTGCAGAAAAAAAATATATCCGTTTCCATTCGAAGTGCAGAAATACTAATTCTTATTAATAAAAACGCTAATAACATTACAAAGAATTATGGAGAATAACAGAAAATATTTGTGTGCTCTATCTTAAACAGAAAACATAGGCCACCTATTCCTTATTGTACTGATCTCTTAGAGATACTGTTGTCATCAGTATTGCTCCAATCAAGATGGACATTTTTTCCTCTTCTTCAACTATGTCGCCATTATCATCATCTTAGGCTCGAAAATCCTCTGTGGAGTCTGCTCTAAGATTAGTCGCCATTATGTTCGGTTTCTGGCAACGTATTGCCATCTTCTGGTCTCTGGTATCCCTAAGTCGTTCTTAACTACATCTAACCACCTAATTCGCGGTCGGCCTCTGCTTCTTCTTCCTATAGGTATTCCTGTCATTAGCTTTTTAGCAATCATGTTGTCAGGCATTCGTATTATGTACCCGGCCCATCTAAGTCGCTGTGTTAATGAACGTTACATCTGGTTTAAAGAAGAGTTGGTATAATTCGAAATTAAAACGTTTGCACCACTGCCCTTGATCGTTTATAGCTTATAATGTTTAGTTTTTCTTTGGATATTTCTTGAGTGGAATTATGTTTCATAGTCGCCGTTATATTATCTGCTTATTTCATTTTTATTATTTTATCGAATTTTCGGAAGCATCACTATTACATGGTAATAGGTGAATAGATAAAGTTGCATGCAGAAGGATTAGGGCGGGATGGATGAACTGAATGAAAGCGAATAGTGTGTTGTTTGAAACTGAAAGCAAAACCCTATACAACTGCCATAAGACCAGATGGAACTAAATTTTGAGCAGTTCAAAAGAAAATAAAACATGTGGCAGGAATAAGAATATTTAGAGAAATAAGTAAAGTGACAAAGAAGGATAAAATTAAGAATGAATGTATTAGTAACACCAAGTGATTTCAAAATGGGAGAGCATAGGTTAAAATGCTTCGGGCAAATTCAAGGTCGAGACGCGAATCGTCCAATACGAAGAATTGCTGATCTGCTGGAATGAGTATGGGAAGAAGACCAAGAAAGAGCTGAGAGGAGATGCTTAGGTGGGACATGCCGTTTAAAAAGGTTGATATTGGTATTTTCCTAGATAGAAACTTATAAAGAACTATAATTAGGGAAGCCAACTCCGAATAGTGATAAAGGCAAAGAGAATGGTGATGATGAACGTTTTATCGAATTTTATGGCATTCAAATTTGCAGGTTTGTGTCAACAACAATAATAACACTACAGTCATACAAGACAAATAGTAGTCTAGAAGTGTCTTCTGCTGCTATTAAAATAGTAGTCGTGCGTTTTGCTGTGGATGATAGCTTATTTATAAATTTTGAAAAAACTGATTCTACTTCTGGACAAATTTTAAAAAACCTAGTTAATTACAGCATAATAAAAATATTAAAACTACTGACCAACTAAGTACAACTATAAATCAACAAATATCTAATGTTTAATAATTAAACCATAGCTATAGATTTCTTTCCACGGGAATCAATGGATTTTTCTTGTATACCAATGTGAGTTATACAGAATCTCTTTGTTAATTCTTCGATAGGGCTTGCTGGTGCCCTTAGATAACTTCTAATGGCTGATTTGAAACTAATTTTATTAGATGGATATTCTGATTAATCACATGTTTGCCATTTATAGGCAAATAAATTTAAATTAATTATAATATGAGAATCAAAATCTGTTCAGTTCTATTCATTTTTCTCTATCGTCAGCAGTCAACTCGAGATAGTTAAGGTTAATATAATATACAGTATTGTGCGAATTAATGGAATCATAGGCTGTTTTAATGAAAAAACAGTTTATTTAGTAAAAAATTATATTTTGACAAAACTATAAAGGTAAACTTACATCATTCAGTAGGAAATATGTCTTTAGCAGCAATTACTACTTTTACCCGTTTTGGCATAGATTCTATGAGTTTCTGTCAGTTGTCAGATATCCTTTCATCTCGATACCAAACCTGAATGGCCGCTTCTATCATTTTTGTTTTAGTGGTACAGTCGATTTTTCGCAGTCTAGCTTTGCAAATGGCCCATAAATTTTTAATGGGGTTGAGGTCGGGCGAATTACCGGACCAATCTAAAACATTAATCTTCTTATTTTTGAAAAATGCCATCATTTCCTTTGATTTGTGACAGGAAGCAGAGTCCTGTTGAAGAATCGCTCCTCCTTGGGGTTGACATTTTTGGAGTTGTTTGTTCAAATACTTTTCCAACATGGATTTGTATTTTTGGCTGTTCATCATGCCTTCAATTGGCACCAAAGATCCAACCCCCATGTATGAAAAACATCCCCAAAACATTTTCTTGACTGGATGTTTTACGGTTTGATCAATATGAGGTGGTGTAAGCTTTTCATTGTCAGACTTCCTGACGAATTTCGACCGCTGTCCCTGAGCTATAAAGTGGGTTTCATCTGTAAATAGGACTTTTTTCTAGTCGCCTATAGTCCAATTAGAGTATTTTTGGCCCACAGTAGCCTTTTTTCTTTATTCGTTCAATTAGAAGCTGTTTTTTCTGTGGACAAATTGCCCTTCTACCATTCTCCGAAAGTCTTCTACGAACAGTTGAGTCATGAATCACTATAGGTGATGCTTCTAGATCTTGTTGTAGGTCTTGGCTTGATTTTCTTGGGTCCAATTTGCTCTTTCGAATTAAAAATCTATCATATGCTGGTGTTGTTTTTCTCTTTATTCCACATTTTCCTAACCTTTTCACATCCACTGATCCCGTTTCTCGTTTACGCTTCAAAATTTTGCTTACACCCCCTGACTCACTCCACACGTTCTAACAATCTCTCTTTGTGACATACTAGTGTATTCACTCAACGTGACAACCTTTTCACGCTTCCTAGGCGTAATATCCATGTTGGAATAAAACCAAAAACAACACAAAATAGTACAAAAACCTCCAAAACAACACAAGCTTGGTAAGACATGACCTAAAACACACTCAAATACACCAACACACAGTAAGGTTATGTTTTTAATGCTTGGTCAGCTGTCAACTGTGTAGGTAGTATTGCCAACTGTGAATATTGAAAAAATGAAAAAAAATTCACAGTGATTCCATTAATTCGCACAATACTGTAAACTAGTGCAGGTAGATTTCTTGTGACCACTAACGAAAAAACAACGCTGTTCTTTACAGACAACGGAATTGCTTTTACCTTGAACATAGTTAATTGTTTTTGTATAGAGTTATGAAATGTCATAATATTGTTCATATTGCTATTAACCTCTGGGTTGACTATTAGTTGCATTCTGATTTCTATTGCCTGGGGAAGAAGAATTCTTTTGAAGTATTTGTCCAATTTGCCCCTAATATCTATAAAATGACTATTGTTGTATTGCAAATTTATTATGTTTTTGTAAATATATCTATATTCCCTCAAATATTTTATTTCTGGCTTATATGTAAGGTGTTCAGTTCCAGTAACCATTTAAACCTTTGCGATTTTACCAGTATTTACTTTTATAAATGTCAAAAAAATAAGAAACAGTTAAGGTTGAACTAGAGATTCAGATTTTAAGATTTTAGATATTATTTTTATTGGAAATAACCTGCATCATCCATAGAAGGTTATTAGCGTTGGTACAATATAGACTATAATATATTATAATCATTAATATAAAATATAAGCTATAAAGTTTTTACAAAGTTGATTATAATTTAGAATTTTTTTTTGAAGTATCACTTATAATTGATTATACAATTTCGTTTTCTTTAGAAACCTAACGATTTTTCACAATCCACACTGTCTAAAGCGCACTTTAGGTATATCACTTGGTAATCCAGTAGCTTGTTTTTCCATTTGATATAATGGACAGTCTATAACAATGTGGCCTACAGTTATATTGGTGTCACAGCCTTAGCATATTCTAGGAGGCTCCTTCCTTAGTAGGTGTTCGTGCGTCAGTCTGGTATGTCCTATTCGGAGACGATGTAGTACTTTGCCGCATTTTATTATTTGGTAAGAGTCACAATCTTCGTAACCATAAGTTTTTTTTGTGTACTCATTGATGCATTTTTTCATATCTGAGTGAGGAATTTGGTTAGTTCTATCATCGGATCTCTCAATTTTACAAGCTTCTTTGGCCATTTGATCAGCTATCTCATTTCCTGATATCCCCACATGAAATGATATCCACACAATATATAGTTATTTATGATTATTTTGTAGAGTCACAAGGTCTTTTTTAATCTGTTGTAAAATCGGGTGATTTGGATATATTTTCTGAATTCCCTGGATTGCACTTAAGGAATCTGTGAACATTACTGTAATGTCTTCAGGTCGATAAAGAGTTTGTTGTACTGCCTTGGATATCGCAAAAAGTTCAGCAGAATATATTGAGTAGTAGGTAGTGGAAACTTAAGCACAGCTTCCTTTGTGACAATGGCGGATCCTACTGTTTTCAATTCGAGTATTTTTAATGCATCGGCATACACTAGTTGACAAGATAAATATTTATTTTTAATAATATAGAAATATTGGAGAAAAAGATATAGTATTAGTTGTAAGATAAGAAATTGTTGTACTGCCTTGGATATGGATAGCACAGAATCCTCGATGACAATTTGGGTGTTTTTGATGTATCGGTAGAGATTTTAGATATATTTGTCTTTTTATTTATGTTTTTTACTGTTCTAATTTTATCTTGATTTGACTGAAATATAATCTTAAACATTTTTTTTGATTTTGCTATTTAATTCTTTAAACATTAATTTAAGATAAGTTTGTGGATTAGTTATTAGAATTTTACCATCAACACATCGCAGATGATTTAGTTATGCTTAATATAAAAAAAAATGTGATACAAAAACTTTGTGATTTTAGGAAAAATCTTGGTTATAAACATTGAGCAAGTCAGATAATTTCCTACAAATATCTGGAAATAATTATTAATGAAAACTGGATTAACAAACAGCAAATCAGAAAAAAACTAGAACAAATCCGTAGTTGTTTTCAAAGTATTACGCTGGCATCTCACAGCTCGTGGAAAAAAGCTCTTCACTGGTTTAGATCTTCATGTTAGTGTAAAATTGATAATTATTTACTTTTTGATAACTACCCCAATGAAGCGTGTCCTCTCGAGATCAGGGTTTAGGTAGTTTTGTTCACCAGTTTTGCCGGTAAAAATTTTATTAAGATGGGTAAATTATACAATGATAAAAAATCCAACACAACTTCGTTAGACCTTCTTCTTCTTATTGTGCCATCTTCTAACAAAGGTTGGCGATCACTTCTTTAAACGCTTCCTCTTTCTTTGCAAAGTGAAATACCTGTTTAACACTGAGGTTAGTCTGATCTCTGATATTCCTTAGCCAAGATTTCTTTTTTCTTCTCAAGCTGTTTCTTCCCTCTACCCTTCCTTGCATGATGACATGCAGAAGAGAGTATTTATCGTTTAGAAGTATGTAGCCTAGATACGATGTTTTTGTTAAATCACTCCATAGTAAAATTACCACGACACTAACCGTGACTCTAATCACGTTGGAAGGTTTGACAGGGTAACTATGTGCTATTAAATTTCTTTGAACCGTGTTAATTTACCGGCAAACAACGGGACCAGATGCAATGGCCATAAATAGACAGTTTTGCCCTATCCTAGTGATCGTTAACCATAAATATTGAGGGTAAAAACGCTATTCCACGTTGTGTTGGTTCCTGCTTTTATATTTTGCCTTTTTCTATTGTGTATTGTTGATTTCTCTCGCTCCACGTTCTGTCTGATTGCACCTTTAGAAAGTTGTTTTTCGTTATTTTATCAGATTGGGTACAGAATTCAAAATATTATTTATTCGGTTTAAAAAAGTTCAAACTTAAATATTTTTGACATGCCTATACAACATAAAATATATATTACTGTAAAATATCAAGGAATAATTTGGTTTAATGATACGGGCAGGGTACACGCTCTAATAAAAGGCTGTGGATGTAGTTCAAGACGAATCTGTTTAGTTCACTTTTTTTCTATGAAAAATTGACTGTACTATAATGCACACATTTCGAATCCTGCTTTGTGCAGGATCTTGTTCATTGACGAATCTATTATCTCATTATGATTATTACTTCAATAGCAATCATTTTTTATGTACTTTATTATTCTGAAAGCATCGTTAGATGAATCTTTTACTTATTCATTTTTTTCTATTAACTAATTACATGAGAACAAGGACGGATCAGTGTCTATTGAGAAATCAAATTTTTTTAAAAAAGTATATACTATGCAGATGATATACTGTATATAATAGTTAAAAACGTGGGGAAATATTATTTGAATTAAAGGGTAAATGGTGCCCTAATCATATATTTAGATGATTTTAAATTATTTTATAATATAATTGTGAGTGATCACTTTGGTTCTTATCTACTATTTTGCGCTCCAACAATTTTTTTCTTGATTTTCTTTTTCTTCGCCTTCTGTCGTCCATTTTTGAACATAGACCTCTCTCAACTTCTGCCATCGATCTCTATCCTGAGAGCAATGCTCCTAATTTGTTCAGGCTATTTTTTTAATGTCATCTACCTATCTTATCTGTGATCTTCCTTTTGACTATCTACCTTTGTAAGGTCTTTAACAATTTTAACTGTTCTTAAATATTTTGGGTGCACTGAACATATTCACACATTCACACATATAGCAATATATCGCTCAATAATTGTTACCATGATTCAAATGTCAACTGCCAACATTTTAATTTGATTGGACCATCGGTTTAGAAATTGTAGAACAAAGTTTGTGACTCTACAAAATAATGACAAAATCTAAACCGTATGTGTTAGTAAATCATTGCTTTCTGATGGAAAAAATACTACTCTACTAAAAAAATGGGTTGATAATATTGACTTGGACTCTCTCCCATCAGGAACAATAGTTGGGAGGGGAAATGTTGATTTTAAACTTGGTTGTAGAGCATCACATATGGATATATTTAGATTCGGAATTCTCGGAATCAGAAAATACAAAAAAGAAGGTTTTAGTTAATTATTCAGTATTTAAATTTATACCTCAAACATTCCAATTCAAAATACTCCTTATGGTAAGTAAAGCTCCATGGTATGTATCTAAACACTTCACAATGATCTGAACATCCCATTACGTCAAAACATTATAAATAATCACTCAATGAAATATAAAAATCGCACCACTGATCACAACAAAGAACTGATAAATAATTTATTCACCCAACCATTTGCCGAAAGAAGATTGAAGAGAGTATGACCAGAAGAGCTACCGCAATAATACTTAGAGATCCGTCATTGGACGGTTTTACTTATTATTTACTTAGTATTTACTTATTACTTTGTGTATAGAGTAGATTGTAAACATGCAATGTAACAATAAAAAAATTAAATTTATAAAACCCCAGCATATTTACCATTAACATAAACATTTATCATGGAGAAAGCTATGTTCCAGTGGATGCCACATTTGTTAAAAGTCGATCAAAAATAACAACGCTCGATTGATCTTAGTAGCAAAATAAACGTGAATTTTGACATGTCACAATACATGACATATGGATTTATGACTTTACTCCGAAATCAAATTGGCTATCGGCTGAGTCGACA